CTATCCCTCCTATTAACGGGCGTGTCGTGAAGTCGTCGCTGGAGACCCGGTACAGTATTGGACATCTATTCCAGTATTGAGCTTATCACGGTGGACGCAGACTCTGTGAGGAATATATTGGGTGCGGTTAGCGGACCCGAAATATCGCATTTCATATCTGATTTGCAAGATGATATTCGAATTCTAAAAGACAACGTTGGTCAGATTGTTCGCCATGGGTCTACTTCGCCTGTTGAAGAAATGTATACGGAGAAGCCGAGCCCGCTCTATAATGTGCGGCTTACTCTTGCCGGGATCAATATCCATTCAAGCGCTCCGAGTTTGCAGGTTGAAAACTCTTTTGCTGATATGGATCTTGGTGTGGGTGTTATTCAGATAAATCTTGATAACTCTGATGACCTTGGACTACCACAACTTGATGTCAGCTTTTCAAGAATCCTTTTTGATTTAAGGCGACGTGAAAGTGGGCAGATACAATCTTTTGGGACCCTAGATCTCAGTGCACAGCTTTCTGGGACGTCAAGGAAAACCGACAAAGATGGGGTTGTTCGCTATTATCATCTTTCCAGCAGATGCTTCCACATTGCGTTGTCCGCTGAGACAGCGTCAATGATGGTTGATATCGCTGCGCATTTACAGGAACGGTTCAAAACGCTTGATATGTCCCAGGATATCAAGCAATTGCGAAAGCTGCGTCGAATTAGATCAAGAGGCAAAGATCCGGCGTCTCAAATCCCTACGATCAATGTGGACGAACCCTCTGCTCGGAAAGATCTTTTTGACGCGATTTATTCTGTCGACTTGTCAAGCATACAACTAAGCTGGCTAGTATCTACCTTTGCAAAGCCACCCCAAGGAAAAGAGCTAGAAGACCTTGTTTTCTCAGTTAGTAGAATTGAACTAGCTACTGGAAGACAAAGTGCGGCGCGGTTGCGAATTGAAGAAATGCAATTGCAGATGGTGCCACAATGTGACGACAAACAAAACCGATCTCAGAATTCTGCACTCCTACCTGAAGCTGTTTTCGATGTTGGATACCTGGCTTCTGGGAGTGAACGCAGACTTTCGTTTCAAGCAGCCGGTAAAATGTTGGATATCCGGGTGACCTCGGATTTTATCCTTCCCGCGAGTATTCTCCAGCGATCCTTAGCGTCGGCTAGTGAGAGTCTTCGGGAGGCCAAGCTTAGATGGCGAAAGGAGATGCCATCAGAGCAGGAAAAGAAAGCAATCGGCCCAAATATTAATCAATTGACGTCTCTCCTTGTCGATGCCGATTTTGCCGGTGCAGTAGTCAGCTTGCAAGGTAGACATGGTCCGCGAGAAGAGGGTGCCGGGACAACTGCGAGTTTTAACCTGGAGTCAAGCGGAGCTCATGGTGCCCATTACTTCCCACAAGACACAATATCGATCGCGACATTGCGTGCTCCAGGCGTTGCAATTAAAGTCCAATTCGAAGATAAGGACGGGAAAGATCCCATGCTCAACGCTGAAGTTAAAGTTGCCGCGTCCACGAACGTTCTTCATCCAACTGTTGTGCCGCTCATCACAGAGATTACATCGAGTGTAAAGGAGGTTGTAGGAGAGTCCGGCCACGACACCAAAGCCACCCTTGAGTCACGAATCACGGAAAAAGGCGCACAGGCAAGGTCAATTGGGGCAAACGACCCAACAACTATCCTGGGGCGTTGCAAGCTAAAGATAGGGGTTGCGGATTTGCAAGCAGGAATTTACCCTTAGCTGCCAGCCAATTGCTCGTGTGGCAGCAACGGCTCGTTTTGAGGATAGTTATATTACGGTAAACACGGTTCAATCTGCGGAGCAGAGAAGATTCTTTGCCATTTTGGTGGCATTTAACAAATTGCAGGCTTCCATCAAGCACGTTTACTCTAGCGAATCTACCGCCAACTTTGATATCGATTCTATTGTCGTGTCACTGATGAACAGCAAACATGTCAGTTCAAGCAATGGGATTTCGGCTATTCTTAGAATCAACCCAGCGCGCGTGCATATTAATGCCAAACAAGTTCAAGACTTTCTCCTATTCCACGAAATCTGGATGCCTCCGGATGACCCATCTAATGCTCAAAAAGCCAAACCACCATCTCTCGACAGTCAGGCATATCTTGTGCAGCAATACCAACAGATGGCGTCGGCTGAAGCTTTCCCATGGAATTCGACAATTGCAATCGAGCAGTTAGACGTTCAAATTGACTTGGGCCAAACATTGGGAAAGTCGCAGTTTGCAACCAAGAACCTCTGGCTTTCTTCGAAGAAGAATTCTGATTGGGAACAAAACCTCTGTGTCGGTTTTGAAACCATGAGTATACAAAATACTGGGCGCCTGGGCGGCCTTGTTGAGCTCTTTGACTTCAAGATTCGTACATCCATTGAATGGATGGATGGCCATCACTCGGAATATCACACTCCGCTGATCCAAGCGGCAATTGGTTTCGGCCGCCTGCAGTCGAAGGTATCATTTGAGTATCAGCCGTTTTTGGTGGCAAACGTGAGTTCGTTTGAATTTTTGATGTATAATGTTCGCGACGCATCGAAAACACACAGCGACCGCCTCGTGAGCTTCCTCGAGGGTGGAAAGCTTCATGTTTACTGCACGACTTTAACCGCTTCTCAAGGGCTGGCACTCTTTCAGACCCTACAACGATTGGTACAGGACAAGCAAGCGGCATATGAAGCTTCATTGAAGGAAATCGAGGGTTTTATACGGCGGAGATCGATTTTGGGTTTCCCTGAGGCCGAGGAGGCGTCCGCCGCCAGGAGTGACCCTGACGAAATCAAGATGCCCATATCCCTCCAAACAAAAGTTGTTGTGAGCTTACAAGAAGTAAAAATAGGTGCATTCCCAAGCACTTTCCAGGATAACCAAATATTTAAGCTTGAGGCTCTCGGTGCTGAGGCACAGTTTTCTGTTGCCATTCAATCCGGGAAAATACACGGCGGTTTGGGCCTGACGCTTGGGCAACTGCGCATAGCCCTCTCCAGCGTTAATCGCCCCACTGAGGTCATACCTGGAGAATTCTCTGTTGACGAAACCGTCAGCCGTGCGGTTGGCTCACGCGGGGGAACTATCTTGAAAGTGCCACGCCTCGTGGCGACAATGGAAACCTGGCAAATCCCGACGTCGAACCACATCGACTACATATTCAAAAGCTCTTTCGAAGGCAAGGTCGATGTGGGCTGGAACTACTCGCGCATCGCATTTATCCGCGGCATGTGGGATACCCATTCCCGGGCGCTTGCGAATCGGCTGGGCAAGCCGCTTCCGCAAGCTGCGGTTCAGATTACTGGGGCCCCCAATGGCGAAGACGGAGAGTATAGCGGCCAAGAGAAGATCACGGCTGTTGTGAATGTCCCGCAATCGAGATACACGTATACCGCGCTGGAGACGCCTGTGATCGAGACGCCTCAGCTGCGTGATATGGGGGAAGCGACTCCGCCGTTGGAATGGATTGGATTACATAGGGACAAGCTTCCCAACATCACGCATCAGATTATCATTGTTACCTTGATGGAAGTGGTAAAGGACGTGGAAGATGCGTACTTTAAGATCCTGGGTTCATAGAAGGTGGTTGGTTCATTATTGGAATGATTCGGTTTGCATGAGAGGATACCGTGATATAGATTTTGGATGGGACCATTTACAACTCAAGTTAATCTGTAATAGTAATTAATATTATTTCTGTCTCCAACTCGCAACTGTGCAAGAGGCCAACATGCGACTTCTCGGTCCCCATGGCAGGGTTTTGCCGCTTGCTGATCATACGTGGGCTTTAGGCTACGTAGCATCAAGGAGAAAGACTGCGATCTTGCGGTGAGCCTGTTCTGGCTCACCGAACTTTCTGACTCGACAGGTGACTCACAGCAGATGCCGGCCCGTCATACATATTCAACGTCTTTGTCACTCTGGGAGGAATCTCCCCTGGGAGCCGTTCAGCGCTTTGGATACCGGCACCAGTCGTGAGTCACGAAAAAGTGTAGTCCAGCGACCACATCGCAGCGGAGGTACTGTGAAGTACCTTACCAGGCGGATGGCCTGCAGTAGTGGCAGTGGGGGGTACATTGGTGTACTTGTGCGGGGTAACACGCAGCGAGAATGAGTGAAGCAATGCTTACTCACACGGTTCGGCCAATCAGGGCGGCCGCGGCCGGCGAGAACCGCACAACCAGCAAGCCCCTCCATGCACAAAATCCTCATCGGCAAAATAACCCCCATTACTAATACCTGCCCACTTCGCTTGATCTTCTCACTTTTCCCTCCTCTCCCTCAACCCCCTCCTCCATCCATCCTCCAGCTTCAGATCATTGTCAATCCAGTCCTGAGCTGCTTAACCCCTCGAGTTCAACTGAGAATCTGATCAGGTCGAGAGTCCCTCGATCCTGGTTACTACTTGGTTGATTTTTTTTCTTTTTCTTTCACAAATATCGAACCCCGCCTCTAGGGCACTGAAAATTTAACACACCGTCAAGATGGTCAAGTAAGTTGCTGTCCAGCACTTATCATGGTGCCGATTTAGGATGCGTCGCTATCAATCAGTGTCCTGCGCGTCTCGCTTTCAAAATGGAGTGGTTTGCTAATTGCGTTCTTTTCTTGCAGCTTCACGGTCGAGGAGGTACGTGCCAGGATTCGCAGTGACGATTGGCCTTTATAGGCCGGGGGGATCTCTCGATACTGACAATGGGTTGCATAGATCCGTCAACTGATGGACCGTCCCGCCAACATCCGTAACATGTCCGTCATTGCTCACGGTATGTTGAATCCCTGAAGCCCTCGCGCTGGCATCCCTATTAATAATCAGCGGAATAGTCGACCACGGAAAATCTACCTTGACCGATTCGTTGGTTCAACGTGCGGGTATCATTTCAGCTGCCAAAGCTGGCGAAACCCGTTTCACAGATACTCGTCAGGACGAGCAAGACAGATGTATTACCATCAAGTCCACCGCCATCTCTCTTTATGCCCATCTTTCAGACGAAGAGGACATCAAGGATATCCCCCAAAAGGTCGACGGTAACGAGTTCTTGATCAACTTGATCGACTCTCCCGGTCACGTTGATTTCTCTTCTGAAGTCACTGCTGCCCTCCGTGTCACTGACGGTGCCCTCGTCGTCGTCGACTGCGTTTCTGGCGTTTGCGTCCAAACCGAGACTGTGCTGCGTCAGGCTCTCAGTGAACGTATTAAGCCCGTGTGTATCATCAACAAGGTCGACCGTGCTCTTCTCGAGCTTCAAGTTTCCAAGGAAGACCTTTACCAGTCTTTCTCCCGTACCATTGAATCTGTTAACGTCATCATTGCTACTTACTTCGATCCTGCTCTTGGTGATGTCCAAGTCTACCCATACAAGGGTACCGTCGCTTTCGGTTCCGGCCTTCACGGCTGGGCTTTCACCGTCAGACAGTTTGCCGCTAAATATGCCAAGAAATTCGGTGTTGACAGAAATAAGATGATGGAGCGCCTCTGGGTAAGTGGATACCTTAATATTTCTCTTCCCGATCTCGAGCTTACCATGTGGACAGGGCGACAACTACTTCAATCCTAAGACCAAGAAATGGACCAAGAACGGAGAGCATGAGGGCAAGTCGCTTGAGCGTGCTTTCAATCAGTTCATCCTTGATCCAATCTTCAAGATCTTCAACGCTATCACACACTCCAAGAAGGACGAGATTACCAACGTGCTTGAGAAGCTCGAGATCAAGTTGAAGAGCGAGGAGAAGGAATTGGAAGGCAAACCCCTCCTTAAAGTCGTTATGAAGAAGTTCCTTCCAGCCGCTGATGCTCTTTTGGAAATGATGGTTCTCCACTTGCCATCTCCTGTCACCGCTCAGAAATACCGTGCCGATACTCTCTACGAAGGTCCCGCCGACGATGAAGCCTGCATCGGTATCCGTGACTGTGACTCCAAGGCTCCTCTCATGCTTTACGTCTCCAAGATGGTGCCGACCTCCGATAAGGGTCGCTTCTATGCTTTCGGTCGTGTTTTCGCCGGTACCGTTCGCTCCGGTCTTAAGGTCCGCATTCAAGGCCCCAACTACACTCCTGGCAAGAAGGAAGACTTGCACATCAAGGCTATCCAGCGTACCATTCTCATGATGGGTCGTTTCATTGAACCAATTGAAGATGTCCCTGCTGGTAACATCGTCGGCCTGGTTGGTGTTGATCAATTCTTGCTGAAATCTGGTACCCTCACCACCAGCGAGACTGCCCACAACTTGAAGGTCATGAAATTCTCCGTCTCCCCCGTCGTCCGACGGTCCGTTGAAGTCAAGAACGCCAACGACTTGCCTAAACTCGTCGAAGGTCTTAAGCGTCTGTCCAAGTCTGATCCATGCGTTTTGACCCAGATCTCCGAATCTGGTGAACACATCATTGCTGGTGCTGGTGAATTGCACTTGGAAATTTGCTTGAAGGATCTTGAAGAAGACCATGCTGGTGTTCCTCTCCGTGTTTCCGACCCTGTTGTCTCCTACCGTGAAACCGTCGGTGCTGAATCAAGCATCACTGCTTTGTCCAAGTCTCCCAACAAGCACAACCGTCTCTATGTCAAGGCTGAGCCGCTTGGTGAGGAGGTTGCCAATGCCATTGAAGCGGGCAAGATCAGCCCACGTGATGATTTCAAAGCCCGTGCCCGTATCTTGGCTGATGAGTTCGGCTGGGACGTTACTGATGCACGTAAGATTTGGTGCTTCGGTCCTGACACCACTGGTGCCAACTTGGTTGTTGACCAGACCAAGGCTGTTCAATATCTCAATGAAATCAAGGATTCTGTCGTTTCTGGCTTCCAGTGGGCTTCGAGAGAAGGTCCTGTTGCTGAAGAGCCAATGAGATCCGTCCGTTTCAACATCTTGGATGTCACTCTCCACGCCGACGCTATCCATCGTGGTGGCGGCCAAATCATCCCTACTGCTCGTCGTGTCATCTATGCCGCCACTCTTTTGGCTGAGCCCGGTCTTCTTGAACCCGTCTTCTTGGTCGAAATCCAAGTACCTGAGCAGGCCATGGGTGGTATCTATGGTGTCCTTACTCGTCGCCGAGGTCACGTTTTCGCCGAAGAGCAGAGACCCGGAACTCCTCTCTTCACTGTCAAGGCCTACTTGCCAGTCAACGAATCTTTCGGTTTCTCTGCCGATCTCCGTTCCGCTACCAGCGGTCAAGCCTTCCCACAATCAGTATTCGATCACTGGCAGATTCTCCCCGGTGGTTCTCCACTTGATCCATCCACCAAACCTGGTCAAGTTGTCCAAGAAATGCGTAAGCGCAAGGGTATCAAGGAAATCGTGCCTGGTGTTGAGAACGTAAGTTTTGTTATCCGTCCTGGTTAAATCAGACATGTGCTAACTGAACATTTAGTATTATGACAAATTGTAAAAAGTTCTTTGCGAGAGATAGGCTCCTGAAGGGAATCCATTGCTGTCGATGGTCCATTTTACGATTTCGACGATCCGTGGAATGCATCTGGTAACGAGGAAACGATAAAACCACGGCCAGGGTTATCTGGATGTCTGTGTGACATGGGTTTTCATAGAAGGGGGTTCAGCTCAAAGACTGCTCGCTTTCTTTGTTATTCTCAGCTCCAAATTCCCGCACATGGGGAAGCACGAATACCCGGAGCCGGGGGTGTCTTGAGGTTCTTGCAGTGTTGTTTATTCCAGCTTTTATTTTCTTATTTGGTTCAAATCGTTGTTGATATCGCTGCTTTGTCTGTTTTGTCATGGTTATTAGTCTAAAAAGAATAGTTAATGCAGTGATTATCATCAATAGTTTTTCTTCACTCACTGTAGTTGCGTACTTCTGGTCATCGCTGGTATCGAGAGTGCTGTCCACTTGATGCTTCAGCCTGACAGCAAAACGTTGCCGCTGGGTGTTGTCGGGCTTGGCACGCGGTTCTGCCATCACGCGTCCAAATGCGCGTTAAGGTTGAGTGTAGCTGCGGAAACGATGGCCGCAAAACACGCACCTCTGCCGATATCGAGGTTAAGCCATCGCATTCGGAGTCGGTCAAGTGTAGCCACGGCACCCAGTGAGGGCCTCCGCGTTCGCCTTTTGCGTGCAAGTTTGTTTCCCACGACTCCATTACGATGAGTACCGAGCCCAATGCCAACAGGATCGCAGAGGTAAACACATTCCTGTCGTCCATGTACGGGATCCAAACCGGGATTGACTGCTAACTATACTGTCTCCTCTAGTTGTCTGCTCAACTCTGCGCATATTATCTTATGCCGCATCTAAGTTCGAACGGGACTGGGAGTTCAACCCTGCAGAAGGGAAATACGTCTTCTCGCGACGACACACTATCTCTACGTCTCCCACTGCCACTCGGCAAACCCCCAGGCAAACGACGCGGTCGCCCAAGGTAGAAAAATCTATTTCCCCTCGCCAGCGGCATGTCAATGGCGAGAGGCTCCGAGAGATACTCGACAATGGTCGACCCCGGATTGCGCCAGGCACGTATTCAATCAACGGTGCGACTCACGAGAAGGACCTATATACCCCAAACGCATCACCTCGCTTTATCGATTCGAAGAGCCGACATGCACCTCTTGATGTGGCGCACATACCTCGCCTTGCTCCGCCTGCCGATATCGTTTCGGGGGCATTGAACAACCCTAGACGAAGGCCGAATCCCAACCATGAGGCGTCAAATGGCCCTCTCTATTCAACCTCCAGCCCGAATAAAAGGCCTATATTGACTCATCAATCCTCAACCTCCTCTTCGCTAGACGATCTTGCCTCGTCGGCCTCCCTGTTACCAGGGACTCCTTTGCAGCCTCAGTTTCCCCAACTCTCTTCCACACCATTAAACAACCCTCATCCCCTTGCGAAACAACGAACGCCCTCACAGAATGCATTGATGGAACAAGATGCCATTGAAACACTCTTGTTCATGTCTAGTCCTGAGAATTCGGGATATTTTCCAGGCTCCCAGCAACATCCCAGACCGCCCATTCCACGCAGCGCAAACATAACTCCACTCTTATCCGCATTCGGGTCCGAATCAGCGTCCACTGGCTCAGTCATGGAGACTGATCATGACGCAGGTCGACGCGCCGCTATACAACGCACGACGCTCGTTAACAATGGTACCAACGGAGGAGCGTATGGCTGTTATGCGCATAGCCGCATTCCCAGCGGAGCGGGACTCGAGCACGAGGCGGGGGATGAAATAGACCGCATGCTTGACGAGATGGTAGACAGCGACGAGGAGCTGGGGTTCAAGTGGCTTCCAGCCTCAACGAATCAGGCAAACACGTCCAGCTTGCAGCCAAATGTCGCCGGTTCAGGCACTTTAAGCTGAAGTGCAACAGCAGCTTCAGCCTTGAGAACTTTTCTTTTTGCCCGTTTCCCCCAGCCTTCCCGCTTTTCCTCTTTGCTTTTTCCTTTTTTCTTGGCAGGTTCTTCGCATTGACAAGCTTTACGAGTGACGACCGTGCATTGGTTTCATTGCAATGTGGCATGTTGCTGGGATCTGTTGTGAGAAATTATTGTGTCATGAGTGTGGCTTTGGGACGCCCAGCATTTCTTAGTGTTTTGGATATTACATCCCCTGAAAAAACATTGTTTTGCGGAAGAATGATCATAGAAGCCACTTGAAGTCATTTGTCTTTTGTATTAGTCTACATTTCTGTTCTCTTCATGCACATTATTACTACCAATTCTTGTTTGATTAAACAGCGCATGATGAAAGCATTCCTGTGACGCAGTGTACATGTATCATGTTTGCATGTTGAATTTAGTTATTTGTGGCTCTGAGATTCTTTGGATGATATGCCTTACCAATTCATCCAATCTAACGGTCATATTCTCATCACTAATCTTAGGCATACGGCTTTGTGGGATCATTATATTGTCGCAGTTAACACTTTAAAGGCCCCTAATCATTGAGCAAGATACCCTCCTTCTACTGCCAACGTATGGCCAGTGACAAAGCCCGCGTCGTCAGAAGCTAGAAACACGGCAGCACCAGCAATTTCTTCTGGCTTGCCCATCCGTTCCCCAAATGGATGTTTAGAGCCGATAGCCGCGTATACCGCTCTAACACGGGGATCCGGAGAATCGGGGTTCATGAATGGCTTGACGAGCGATGTTGCGACGTATCCCGGTGCCAGTGCGTTGACATGGCTGCGAACAGCGCTGTTACTAACGGCGAAGAGATGCTTGGAGACACAAAAGGAGGAAAGACTTACATGCCCTCGTGTCCGTATTCTAATGCTATTGCTTTGGTCATTTGGACCACGGCACCCTTCGATGAACAGTATGGGCTGGTCCCAGTGGTTCCGACAAATCCAAGGATTGAAGCCATGTTGACGATCCAGCCCCGATCGCCGTTGGGATGGAGGTCTTGCTTGAGCATCTGGGTGACGGCGTATTCTGCGATGTTATTAGATACGGACACTCACTGTGTGGATTTCTTCCGGGGCTTTATTTACTGCATCCTAGCCAAGTCCCTTTGGCGTTCACCCCTACGATCTTGTCCCAAGCTGACTCCGGGGTTTCATGGAGGCGAGCAGGCCCGTAGTTCGGGTCGTTGGCAACGCCAGCGTTGTTGACCATGCTATGACCGACCGTCGAGGTTAGGATGCGTTTTGTCAGGGAAATGGTGGTCTCGGGAGGTGCAAAGACCAGACATACATATCCAGTCGCCCGAATGTCTTCACGCTCTCTTGCACGAGGCTTTCCATTTCTGATGCCGAAGTAACATTTGTCTTGAGGAAGATTGAACGCTGCGAGGGAATCCCGTTCTCCTGAGAGGCTCCGTTTCCTTGCGGGACGGGGTATGTTTGATTCACGGCTTCATGCGTCGGCCTGGTGTCTTCGGGATCTATATGTATTGGAACTGTTTAGATACTATTCTCGTTTCCGCAATTGGCCTTTTGGGAGAAAATAACAAGACGAGGTGTCGTAGAACCACGACTCCCGTTTTTCCATGGTTTAATATCTCCCGGATCTAGATCCCCAACGTCGTAAAGAGCAAACAAAACGAAAGACGGTAACTATTCACCTTTCGACGCAGGATCAAGATCTGCACAGACAACATATGCGCCTTCAGCGGCATACCTCAATGCAATTGCTCGTCCGATTCCGGATGAAGCACCCGTTACGATGGCGACCTTGTTGAGAAGACGACCCATCGCGGCCATGGTAAAACGGAAGCACAAACAAGCGTCAATATAAACTCGTCACAGCCAGAATCATATATAGAAGAAGTCAGTCCAGCTAAAATAATATATGATTCTTTTTTCTTCAAATGCACCAGAGCGATCTCATCCTTTTATAACTGCACCACATCCCCACAACGCCTTCGGAGCCCCGGCTGATCAAAACGGCCCCCCCTCTTCGCTTCCTGATAAAAAGGAAAAAGAAGTCAAAGCTGAAGAAGTCCAGGCCCCCCATAAACACCCTTCCCGTCTGCAGCTCCTCCTCGCTAGTTCTCAATAAACTTCGCCTTTGCACGACACTTTTTCGCGGGTAACGGCGGTGGCATGACGCACCTCGGCTGATTGCCGTCCCACTGCCCCTTGTATAGATTGTCCGGAACGAGACTTGGCTGATGGTTTTCGGAGCCGGGAGTGCTGGGACGCCAGCAGCAGTGGACAGTTATCCAGATGTTATGCAGTTGTTTATGTTAGTTTATGTGGTGTAACATAGTAGCTCTCGGATTCTTTCGAACATCTGAAACAGTTGTAGTAGCTTGCGCAAACTAATAATACTATCCTCAGAGAGTGCGAAGGAGGCGGAACTCAAGCCTAATGCTCTGAATAGCCTATGATCGTCACCAAGGTGTTGACGTTGGTAGATTCTTGCTTCAAGGCCATATATCAAGCGTACAAGAAGCAAGTTAATCGTTGAATTTACAATGATTGCCCAACTTACGATAGCAGGAAGATGATGGCGAAATGCGGATAGGAAATCAGGATCATGGAACAAGAGAAAGAATGGGAATCCAGCTGGTTTTGGGCTATTCTGATGAGAATGAGGATTAATATGAAGGGCCAAAGTCTATTGATTATCTAGCAAAGACCACACCCTGATTGTCGGGGTCAGGTTATAGAGTAGCTGGTCGTAACGTCTCGGATGGTTCTTTGCTGCTTTCTCAATTCAGGGTTCGCAATTTGATAATATCCCAAAGCCGCCTGGCGTGCGGTGATGTTATTTTTATAGGACCCTGTGACAGTAGTCTGCCTAAAAGCCTGCTTGGCTACACCCTGACCAGCTCCAGTCTATACTAGGTGTTGTACCCGATGGCGTGGCTTGATTTACTTGACCTTGTGGGTATCCCAATTTGAATCACAACTCCCACAGTGGACACAGTAACTAATTTGACCGCCGGAAATACTGGCTTCAAATTGATTGCGACAATCCGGGCATTGGTATATATTTCTCTGCACAGTTGATATTTTGGCCAGAGTCCGGGCAATATCAGCTGAAAAGGGAGCACAGCTTTCCAGCACGCTCAAAAATTCCCCCTTCTTCAAAAGTGATTCCAAGTTCGCAATACAGGTCCTGACTATCAAGTCACGAAGGCCTCGATCGGTTTCCGGAGTCGTGGTGTAAACCTCTAAAATCACTGGAGGAAAGTCATCCATGTCCCAACAAGTACTTGCAATGTCTTTAAAGATTTCTTTAGCTTTCTCCATCAGGCAAGGGATTCCGAGTCGTTCAGCCAGGCTATACACCTGCGCATTCAGAAACAGGGGGGAGACGCGACATTGAGGCCCTCCACTACTATCATAGTTACGGTTGTACATGAAGCAAATCATTGCTTCAACAACACCAGGTTCAGCCTCCTCAATGTCAACTTCATTTCTTGCTGTTTCCTATATTCCCTGTGTAAGCATGGTTTCAGCAGTTGTGGCTAATTATACGTACTTTCCAGTCACCATCATATAATCTTGAAAAATACTCAGACTGACTGCACACTATCACTCTATGCACTTTAAACTCCTCTCCCGCTACTCGGATAGTGAGGTCCGTGAACTGCCCAGAATCGTGGTACCTGCACGGATCAGAATCCGGCAATAATCACAAGGTCTCTATCTTACCTTTTGAGACCAGCAGAGAGTGAGTATGTGTCTTGTAACTCCATATTGCTGCTACTCTGGGGTCATACTGAGTTAGGTGTTATACTTAGGAAAACATGTAGCAGTTTTGGCTCACCGGCAAGCAAACCAGAGTGTTGGATTGGGGCTCCGAAGGCAAATGAGCCAAAGCTGTGCTGGTGCTGCTCCTTGACTTTTTCTTTGCTTTGGGTGCCATGTGAAGGAAGCAGTAGTTTTGACCAGCAAAGAAAGAAGAATCAAGATGCCCCTCCAGAGAAAGGAAGTGCCTGAATATGTACTCAGCTAGCAGGCATCCGGAGCAAACCGCCGGACCAGGGAACAAGAGATCGGCGATGCTTGTAGTTTGGTTTAGAATTTTTATCAAGAAACAGCATCTTTCAGCCTGGATGGTGCGGCGACGCTGATTTCGCCTATTTTGTTGGTGAGGGTGATTCGGCCCACGCAAGTGTTGCGCGGATTTTTAGAACAGTTGGCCAAATGTGAAAAGAGATTTTCCAACTTGGCCTTTTTGAGCAAAACAAATGAACTTGTGTTCCCACCCTTCATATCGATGATATCGCAAGTATCACCGCCCGGTGGCGTAAAGAGCCCTACGTGGCAGCCTTGTTGTTTGGCATTAGGCCTTGGGGCTTACACCGATCCACCCAGTGATTTTGGTTTTTATGTAGTTATGGAGTAGCTAATAAGTCAGGGGTGTGCAGCTTGCAGGGCTGGTGGCTGGGGATGCTGGTGATCCTCTCATTGTCTTTGTTGTGATTGCAGAAAACTGCTTTATCTGTAGCACCGTTCTTGGTTTGCGAGAGTCCGACTCGCCTTTTAAACATCCTGTTCAGGATCTGCTGTGGAATCTGGCTGAGGCTGACCGTTCCAACATGCATATAGACATACATTGGTGATAGGTGACAGCGGTTTAGGCCTCAAAAGGACAGGTTAACCGGAACCATTGTCAGCCGCACAATCTTCCTGCTATGATTCAACCATTGCTATAACAGATGGGCTGAAAGTTCGCCTGGAATGGCAATCACAGTTGATTGAGGATTAAAAAGAAATACGTTAAACAGAGTGCCCCGGTTCCAACGAATGGCAGCAACACTACCTACATGATAGTAAGTAGGGCATACCAAAGTCGCCTTTTAGTTAACCTTCATCCATTGTCCGGTTTCCGTGTTATTCGCAAGATCCGTCCTCTTTACCTTGCCCCCTTTAAGCCAGCCGTTTTCCACGATCCCGCCGCCGGGCACCCCAGTGCTCCCACGGTCAAGGCAATTCGCGCCCTCTTTGACAGTGAAATTGGCCAACGAGACTTCGCTGAAATCTCGCTCCCGGATTTTGGGAGTCCCGAAGAACTTTGCCTGCACCTCAGCTGGAGTGATATGCAACTCGAAATAACCCCGATAGTAAAGTTCTGACCACTGCAGGATCGAGTTGTTGTCTACCAGCGACTTTGACTTCTTGACGGTAGCATCGATTTTGGCGCTTCCAGCTGGTGACGGGGATGTGATCGAGCTTCCAGCAAACTCAACACCAATGGCTCCGGCTCCTGTTTTCTCATCGTACTTTGCATGGTCTAACCATGCCACGTCGCTAACCCAATTTGCGTGAGAGTCTCCCGCAATCAGGATAGTGTTGTTGATTTTGTTGTCGTAGAGAGTCTTGAACGTGCGGTTCCGGTTGGCTTGATACCCATCCCAAGCATCCAGGTTGAAATCTTGCAATTTCCCGAATGCAGCTGACTGATCGATATGCGAGAAAACTAAGATACAAGTTAGCGCGAGAGGTATCCAATGGAATAGTATGATTATTACCAATCTGACTCCCAACGATTCGCCATTTAGCGCCGCGCTCGGAAGACTTGATTAGATTACGGTAGAACCAGTTTTCTTGCTGAGAGCCCATCAAACTGCGGCTGGCATCGTCCTTTAGCTTCTTGACATAGAAATGGTTGAGGTATAAGTCGGTAATCGAACGATCATAGTGCCTGGTATCAAGCATCAGGACATCGACAAGGGAGCCAATCTGGAAGTTTCTCCAAATCCGAAGGTTATCATCCATGTCCACCTGCCTAGTTACAGAAGTGTTTTAGCGCATGTACGGCCCGTAAACAGCCATTGGCATACTCACCTAATGGGCATCCATTCAAAGTATGCGCGGACCGCATTCATTTTCCGCTGGTCCACGGAAACACCACCCGATATAAGGAATGAAGCTTCGACATTCCTCAGCAAGGACGACCCATCACGATAGGTATTGTCCCCAACCTCTAGCAGAGCCGCACCGTTAGAAAGCACTGACCGACGTAGGGTGTCAACATACCGTGGTCATCCCACACCGGAATCCATGCAAAGCGCTGATGGTTGGCAACAAGGTCAATATCGGTCCGGTGGGTAGCAATGCGTTTTCGATAATCGTAAAGCGTGTATATGGTGCGATCTGGCAACGGTACACGCCCAATGTCCTTGCCCGATCCACTGCATTCTGGGTTTAGTGCGCATTCCTCCCCCGAGAGATGATTGGACTCACTAAAAGCCGTCGGCATATTCATAGATATAATCACTGCAATCGAAGCCAAAGTCGTTAGAAGCAGAAGTTGCCGCTAGATGAAAGAAGACGTACCCAAGGTGGAGGACATAATCCACAGAGTCCTTCCGCACGGGGCCTCCATATGCAATGAAGAAGCCAGATGCTGTGAATCTC